ACAACAGACAAGTAGGCACGATAACAACAACAAACAAAATGTGAAAATATAAAAATATCATTACTGGTAATGACAGCATTTATGTACAAATAGTTAAACCATTCCTGAAGTCACCATAAATTAATGACATCTGGGAATGTGAGAGTATAAATTTTAAAAAGTACTCCTACTTATTAGAATGAACTTTGGCGATTATGTTGGTAATAAATTGTGCCTACAGCAAAGACTTTCTATTTAAGAAAGAGGAATTTGGAGTCCTTGTTTTGGTGGTTATTATGTAGCACTAAAGGAACAAACATGCTTACCACCTTCTAGATGTCAGGCACTGTGGACTTTATAAACACTATTTTATTCAGACTTCTTAAAGACCTTATGTAATTGGTGACGTTTTTCATCACTATTTTATTATTATTATTTAAAAGTTTTTTTCCCCTTTATTGATTTTTAGAGAGAGGAAGTGAGGAGAGAGAGAGAAACATCAATGAGAGAGAACATTGAGTGGCTGCTTCCTGCATGCTCCCCACTGGGGATTGGGCCCACAACCAGGGCATATGTCCTGACTGGGAATCGAACTGGCAACCTCTTGGTGCATGGATCGACGCTCAACCACTGAGCCACACCAGCTGGACTATTATTATTATTTTTAATCCTCACCTAAGAATATTTTTTCCCACTGATTTCAGAGAATAAAAGGGGGAGAAGGAGTTGGGGGAGGAAGAGAAACATTGATGAGAGAGAGACACATCAATTGGTTGCCTCCCACATGTGCCCCAACCAAGCTGCAACCCAGGTATGTGCCCTTGACTAAAATCGAACCTGCGACCCTTTGGTCTGCAGGTCAACACTCACTGCTGAGCCAAACCGGGCCAGGGCTTTTATCATTATTTTAAAGGACAGAGGTCAATAGATCTTGCTCAAGGTCACATAGCTAGTGAGTAGAAAGGGGTACCTTGAGGTGAAAGTGCAAGACAATAATCATTTCTCCATCACAGGGCTGGAACAGTGCATGCTTGATGTTATTGTACAGAATATCCACTTTGTCTCCTCGAACAGATGTGAAGCGGAAACCTGGGGAGAGAAGTGGCGGAAGCAGCTCATTACCAAGCAGCCCCATGAGGTTGGCCAAAAGGCAGTGCATCTTTCTTGACTGACTTGAACAGGGTCAGAGGAAATGCCAACAACTGTACAGAGCTTTCTTATCATTCTGTCGACAGCAACTGTTAAACAGATTCCTCCCAGCATTTCCTTGTTATACTATATTATCTTGTCTTGTTCTTACAAACGTGCCCGTGACGACAAAACCCAGGCACATGAGAGATGATCCATACCATTGACATGGGCCTCCAGTGAACCTTGCATCCTCTTTTGGGCAATGTTTGGACGAATGTATAGATCTTTCAGTTTGGGGTTACTCCGGTTTAGATTGATCACCAGGGAGTCTTGTTTCACAATGCCCTAAGCAGAATAAAAACTAATGTGACTCTTCATGTACCTTGACATGTCCCCAAAACCCACACGTCCCTTTTTAGAAAGGTGCTTTGCCTCTGTCCAGGCTCACCTCCTTTTCTTTCTCTTCTGCTTCCCGAGTCTTATAACGCTTCTGCACTTCTTTTATAATTCGGAAAGCATTCTGAAGGTTCAAGGCTGGTACTGTCTGTTCTCCAGGTGCCTTCATATTTGAAGCTCGGTATGTACTGTAGAAAGAGGGAAGCATACATATGAGTTTCTTCATCAGACTAGATAACTTGCACTCATTACTATTTTTTGAAGAAAACAGTACCACTGAATGGAGAGACAATGTCTGGAAAGCCACGCCCCCAAAGGAACAACAACCCTCTTCCTTTCTTCTCTCTTAAACAGAGAATGTTATGAATGGCTAATCCATTCGATGGGGCAATTGCATTTATTTTTCAAATCTGGCATAACCTCCTAAATCATCCCATTCCCCGCAATGAAGGAACAGACTCCAATACGGCATACATTTCCCCGAGATTCTATTACAAAGTATGTGTAGTAAGTACTGTATGAAATATTTTCATGAGGAGTCTAAATTATGTTTCATCCTCAAAATAATACAACGCCTGCAAGGTGGTCCTAAATAAGTGCCACAGTGGGAGGAGGCCTTGCCATTCACTACACGGGTGAGGACAGCACAGAGGATGAAATGTTTCTGAGACTGCCCCTCTGGCCAGTAGGGATTTGGGGATAATTGTTTTCCTGGGGACTCACATTTCCTTGACAAAAGTGGCTTCTGGGTTAGGAAAAATGTTGCCCTCATTCCTGCCCAGAGCACTGCCTGGGCAATAGAAGTTAATTCGCAAGTAAGTATAATCTCCTTCCACCGACATACTTATATTCTGTTTGAAAAAAAGAAAAAGCATTAAAATAAACAAGTAAACAAACAGGATTCTTTCCTGGATAGAAATGAGGAGTTATAGAGATGCTAAAATTAAGTTAGGAGTACAAGCTGAGCGCTAAACCTTAGTCTAAATCTAATACACTACATATTTAGCATATCTTTTTATATGACCTAATTTTCTTCTAAAAGATCCTGAGTTTTCTAAGCACTTTATGCCATATGTAAAACTACAGGCTAAAAAAGACTTTAAAAAATCCTCTCTAAACAGGACATACATATGGCCAAGAGACATAGGGAAAAATGATTAACATCACTAATCATCAGAGAGATACAAATGAAAACAAATATGAGGTTATCACCTCACACCTGTCAGAATGGCCGCCATCAACAAATCATCAAACAAGTGCTGGCAAGGGTGTGGAGAAAAGGGGACCCCTAGTACATTGCTGGTGGGAATACAGACTGGTGCAGCCACTGTGAGAAACATTATGTTGTTACCTCAAAAAGTTAAAAATTGAATTGCCATTTGACCCAGTAATCCCTCTTCTAGGAATATACCCTAAGAAGACTAAAACACCAATCAGAAGAATATATGTAGCCCTATGTTCATAGCAGCAGTATTTACAATAGCTAAGATCTGGAAACAGCCCAAGTGTCCATCAGTAGACGAATGGATAAAAAAGCGGTGGTACATGTACACAATGGAGTACTATGCAGCTGTAAGAAAGAAAGATCTCTTATCCTTTGAGACAACATGGAGGAACCTGGAAAGTATTATCTTAAGTGAAACAAGTCAAGCAGAGAAAGACAAATATCACATGATTTCACTTATTTCTGGAATATAATGAACTAAACAAACTGATGGACATAGACAACAAAGCTGGGGATGGGGTGGATGGGGATGGGGAGGAGGGTATCAATGGGGGGAAAAAGAAGTAACATCTGTAACAAAAATAAATAAATTTAAAAAAAACACAAAAAACAGTTCAGCCCTGGCCGGTTTGGCTCAGCGGTTAGAGCGTTGGCCTGCAGTCCAGAGTGACGCAGGTTCGGTTCCCACTAAGAGCATGTACTTCAGTTGCAGTCTGTCCCTGGCCCTGGTTGGGCTGTGTGGGTGGCAGCCACTCGATGTGTCCCTTTCACATCAATGTTTCTCTCTCTCTCTCTTCCTCTCTCTCCCTCCTGCTCTGTCTGAATAAAAAATGTCCACAGGTGAGGATAAATAAATAAATAAGTTCAAAAAGGAAAAATTTTCTAGACTAGATCATTAAACTTTGTACAAAGTGAAAACCAAGAAGGAAGAAAAAATGATGGCAGAAGATAAGTGAGAAGGGTAGAGTCTGAAAGAGAAGAGTAGGAGAGGTGATTTAGACAAAATAATCATCTATGGTAAGCCCAATTACTATTTTAAGAAATAGTTTGTAGGGAACCTAATTCAACATTAGTACCTTGATCGTGGCAATGTGAAAAGGTGTCGCTATGCCAAACACAGGCATTATTACAGTCTCGTATTTCTTATCAATATAGATCTTCATTTCCCGAATATGTGGTTCCTTAGGCATCAAAGATGGGTTTTTATAGGATACATTCGATTTGCGAGCTCTGGAGTAGAGATAAAAAGGTATATGAGAAATTTCTGCAAACCATATATAATCCTGAGACAGTCTCACTGCTCAATGCAAACTCTTACTTCTGAATCTGCTGTTCTCCTTTCTGTTCGGTCAATCGCCTCTTTGCTTCCTCATTGAGTTGAGCTGCCAGTTCTTTTTGATGCGCCCTTCGCTTCTCTTCTGCAGTCATCTCATTCTAGAGAAGAAAAAATCCCAAGCTGTCAGAACATGTGAACCATGACTGATACAAAATCTATGTAGTTTACAACAGTAAACTCACTCGTGTTCTTTCTGTAAGTAATGCTGCCCGTGAACCTCTTCCCAACAGGTCCTCAGCCTCATCTTTCTCCTCTTCCTCTTCTTCTTCATCCTCATTCTATAGGGAAAAAAATCATAATCAGAAATTGGGGTTTTATTTTTTTGGCCAATTATTTTTTATATTCTTCACTGTACCCAAATTTCCTATATCATGCATTTATCCTCTTCCTACCTTTAGAAAAATCCCTACATTCTTTACTTTCTTCTTCACGGAAGTGAGAACAGTGGCCGGGCCATCCTAGAATAAAAGGGAGAAGTCAGGCATCTATAAGAGCTTTTATTTATTTTTATTTTTATCCTCACACGAGGACATTTTTTTGTTCAGATAGAGTGGGAGGGAGAGAGAGAAACATTGATGTGAAAGGGACACATTGAGTGGTCACCACCCACACGACCCAACTGGGGCCGGAGACAAATTGCAACCGGGGTACATGCCCTTAGCGGGAACTGAACCTGGGTCTCTCCAGACCGCAGGCTGACGCTCTAACCGCTGAGCCTAACTGGCCAGGGCTATAAGAGCTTTTAAATGAAACACTTCACCTTCTAACCTAATATGTATCTGGACAATGCTTTGAACTACTGGATACTACCAGATTCTTTAATAATAAATATAGTTCTTAGGTCCCAACATCTCGATAGGTACTGTATTTTTGGAGGCAACATTGGGATCATGTTTAAGAATATAATCTTGATCTGCCCCCCTCCCCACTGCCCACTGTGTAACCCACTTTAGTGCCGGCACCGTATGGACAGAGGCTAGGCAATGGTTCAAGGCCACAGTTTGTACTGGCATGGGGCATTATGAAGACCCAGGGGGATGACAGGCCTGCCAGAAATCCAAACCCATGCATACAGGCTTGATTTGAAACCTGGCTCAATCACTGTCTTGCTGTTATAGCATTTGGCAAGTTACCTAAACTTCTCTGTGTCTCAGTTTCTTTTTCTGTATATGAAGATAAGAGTATCTACTTAATAGGGTTATTGTTAGGATTCAATAAATGAATGCATAAAAGTGCTTAGCATATAAGAACATTGAAATATTTACTATCATCATTGCCATGACCAAGAATCAGTTTTTCCTAAGTGGAAAAAAAAAAAAAAAGCCACAGAAGACCACAAATGTACAGAAAAGGCAAATCCTCAGAGACAGAAAGTAGTTTAGTCATTGTTTAGGCCTAGGGGACTGGGGGGGGGGGGGGGGATGGGGAATGAGTGCTAATGGGTACAGAGTTTCTAAGGTTATAAAAATGTTCTAAAATTAGACTATGGTGATGACTGAACAAATGTGAATACACTAAAAATCAGAAAACTGTACACTTTAAGTGGGTGAATTATATGGTATGTACATTGAAGTTCAATAAAGCCATTATTTTTAAAAATCAGTTCCATTATTAGAATCAACTCCTGATATTACCAAGGTTCAAGCCACAATGTGATAGAAGTGTGGTTTAAAGCATTTCCTGTACTTGGACTACAATCTCTATTCCTAGCTGTATTGGGTCAGGCTATCATATGAATCTCTCCCCTTGGCTAGCATTTAACAAAGACTTTTAAGAAGTACAAAATGTCCCTCCAAAGTCAATTCACAAGCACTCAAAAGTTTAAGAAGCAATGCACACCTCATCCACAAGAACTGTGTCACCAATGAATAGGGCATAGGTTTTCTCTTCTGGTTTCTTCCCTTCCTTGTTAGTCAGGTCTGAGAATCCCAAATTGATGCTGAAAACCATCCCTAAAATAGCAAAATAGAAATCAGACTATGACTGTGAAAGAATGGAGAAATGTAGATTTTATATAGAAAAGAGGAAGATAAAGCTAAAGGAATGATTCAAAACAGTCTTTCCTATTGCATGCATGTAAAACTCACCTTTCTTCAGTTTGTACTGATTTTTACTATTAATTACTAAAGAGCCTTCACGGAATTCAATTCCCATTCCAAACCTAAAAAAGAAACAAAGAGAAACTTTAGCAACAGGCTAACAGATCTTGTACACGGGTCAAGTACAATATATTCTGTTTCTTTCTTTCTTTCTTTTTTTAGTTTGAAGTGAAAGAGTTTATTAGTGGAGCAGTAGGACAGAGAGAAGGCTACTTCATAGGCAGAGCAGCCTCTTTTTTTGTTTTCTTCCAATAACAATTTATTGACAACATATGCTGGGAGCAAGATCTCAAATGCTCCCACAGTATATTCTATTTTAAGTTTCAAGCAAAGGCAGGCAAACATGTTGAGTGATTTGCTGCTGCTACTGATCAGTCAGTTAAGGAAGAAGATAAGAGAATAGTCTTTGCACTTCTACGTTGGAAAATAATATCCTAAGTACCCCTAATTAAATTCTTTATTTTAGCTTATTCACTCACATTTAAATTTTAATCTCTACCATGAAATCAAGTTAGTTTTCCTATTAACTTAGCAGAGACTATTAAGGGGCACATCACGAAACCAGTAATAATTGGATTAATAGAGACAATCTTTAGTGGAATGTTGATAATTAGACTTACTGAGTCACCTGGGCCAAGAGTTGGTATTAGATCAATATTTCCTCTTGCCCATTAGAGAAGCCCAGAAAATAACTATATAACCCAGACTAATTTCCACGTAAGGAGATTGCCTAGAGCTTTTGTTTTCCAAAATCTCTTTGATTCTATAAAATATTATCAGTTATTTCTAGGTGTTCACTGGTCAAATACATTTGTGAAACACTGGGTTAAATAAAAATTCAAACAATCTTTTCAAAAACAATAAGATCTCAGAGTATTTAAAATATTTTTACCCCAAGTTACTTTATTTATTTAATTACAGTTTACATTCAATATTATTTTGTATCAGTTCCAGGTGCACAGTATAGTGTTAGATAGTCACATATTTTACAAAGTGTTCTTCCTGATATTTCCAGTGCTCACCTGACACCACACAGTTATTACAATATTACGGACTATATTTCTTATGCTGTACTTTACAGCCCCATGATTATTTTGTAACTACCAATCTGTACTTCTCAATCCTTTCAACCTCTGCCCCTCTGGCAATCATCAGTCTGTTCCCTTATCTATGAATCTGTTTATGTTTTCTTTGTTCATTCACATTGTTCTTTAGAGTCTACATGTAAGTGAAATCACATGGTATCCCTTTCTCTGACTGACTTATTTCACAAAGCATACTACTATACATCGACCAGTTGCTTCTAGTACATACCTGGACTGGGGATCAAACCCCAAACCTGGGTATGTGCCCTGACTGGGAAGTGAACCCAAGACTTTTCAGTGTATGGGATGATGCTCCAACCGATCCACACTGGCTAGAGCAAGATTTTGTTCTTTTATATGGCTGAGTAATATTCCATTGTATATATGTACCACAGTTGCTTTTTATCCACTTGTCTATTTAAGGGCACTTGGATTGCTTCCATTGCTTAGCTATTGTAAATAACACTGCAGTGAACACAGGGGTGGAAATATTCTTTCAAGTTAGTGTTTTGGGTTTCTTCAGATACATACCCAGAAGTGGAATCACTGGGTCATAAGGCTTACAGCGTTCAATTTTCAAATGTGGAAATACATCATGTAATGTTCCCTAACATTTGTAATTTAAGCCTGGAACACTTACCGACTTCTACATCAATCTAGAGCAGAACTTAAATCTTTCTCACATTCTCTGATAACACTGTGTGTCTGGTACACAGCCAAGTTCAATAGTGCATAAATGCTGGTTGAACCAATCTAAGAATATTTTCCTTGACCATGGCCAGTCATAAAAATTGACTCTGGCCTGGCTGGTGTGGCACAGTGGTTGAGCACTGACCCATGAACTGAGAGGATGCTGGTTCAATTCCCGGTCAGGGCAAATGTCCAGGTGTGGGCCAAATCCCCAATGGGAGGCATGCCGGAGGCAGTCAATTGATGTTCTCTCTCACTGATGATTCCATCTCTCTCTCCTTCTCTAAACAATTAAGAAAAAAAAAAAATTGACTGAGTGACAACATACATCCATAGCATCTTACCCTAGGTTTTTGGTAATTTTGTTCAGCAGTTCTGGCTTCTGCTTTTTAACCACGTCCATGACTGCATTATACACATCACATATCTTTACACCTGATGACAAGACAGAAAAAGAACATTAAGTATCTTCCAAAAAAATAAACAAAACCGCATTAAAAAAATTTTATTAATTTATTTTTGTTACAGATATCCCCCCCACCCCCAGACACCCTCCTCCCTATCCCACCATGCCCCTGACCCCTCAGGCAAGCACTGTTGTCTCTGTCCATTGGTTATGTGTACATGTATATATAAGTTACTTGACAAAACCTCATTTTAAAATCAACTTTTCCACCTGGCCAGAGTAGCTCAGGTGGTTAAGCATCAAATGGCTGCTGGTTCGATTCCTAGTCAGGGCACATACCTGGGCTGCAGGCTCAATCCCTGGTTGGGGCATGTGAGGAGGGCAACCAATCTCTCTCTCTCTCTCTCTCTCCCTCCCTCCCTCCCTCCCTCTCGGATTAAAAAATAAATAAATAAAATAAACCCCTGCCCCTCCACCTATTATGTCTCCTAAAGCAGTGTTTCTCAAAGTATGAAACAAGAAATACAGTTCCTTTCAGGAATGGTAGAACTTAGAAATTTGTATTTTCTAAAATAATCCATTCTGTCATTTTTTAAAGGAACACTACTTTAAATATGTTTTTAAAAATTGATTTCAGAATTAGGGAGAGGGAGAGAGAGAGAGAGAACCATTGAAGAGAAAGAAACATCCATCAGCTGTCTCCCGCATGCCCCCCAACTAGGAATTGAGTCCGCAATCCAGGCATGTGCCCTGACTGGGAAATGAACTGTGACCTCTCAGTTCATGGGATGACGCTCAACCAACTGAGCACACCGGGCAAACCATCCTGTCATTTTTAATGACACTATTTGAGAATCATGGCCTGGGAGACTGTGGAACATTAGTGGTCTCAGTGAAATAACCTTTTAAGGGTTTGATAAATGGCAACACATTGAAGTTACTATACCTTTGAAAAGCAGGACTATAGAAGGAGTGAATTATTGTTAGAAGGACTCTGGCCTTAATTTTTCAGGATTTAGGATATAAATAGGTAGCTTAAGCCAGACTAATCCAGATGATAACCTCAGAGGGACCTTTATCCTCATCAAACCATGTATGACCATGATTTCCAATAGAATTACTTAAAATTGACTTGAGATTGTCATGGAAAAATGGTGCCTGGAACCTCTGAGTAACATGAGTTGGCTTACAAAGTGTTTTAAAGGTGGTAAATAGTTTCATTTAGCCATTTGGGAGTGCACAGTGTCAAGGCAAAAGAAGTGATTCCTTACTTAGCAGGGTTGCTATTAATTCTGCTCTTACACTAATATTATCACTATCCATTCAGTGTAGAAATACCATTACACATACTGTTGGTAGATATACCAGTTCTCAAATCTTTCTAAGGTTCTCCTAAATTCATACACTAAAAAGATCATACACTGTGATCAAGTGGGATTTATACGAAGACTGCAAGGATGATTCAACACGCACATGTCAATCAATGTGATACACTACATTAACAATATAAAGAATAAAAACAATGTAATTATCTCAATAGATGTAGAAAGAGCATCTGACAAAATTCAATATCCATTTACAAAAACATCAATATCGAAGGAATGTACATCAATATAATAAAGGCCATATATGACAAGCCCACACCTAACATGATACTTAATGGTGAAAAGCTGAAAGTTTTTCCTCTAAGATCAGGAATAAAACAAAGGTGCCCTCTTGCCCACTTTCATTCAACAAAGTATTGAAAGTCCTAGCCAAAGCAATTAGGTAAGAAAAATAAAAGGTATCC